CAAACTTCAAATAAGTGTGGATGCTAAACTGGAATACCCATTTTCTAGGCAAGGAGGTGTCAAAAAAATAGCATGGCAGGGATGGGCATTTACATGGGGAATATGAACCAATGCAATTTTTTTTTTAATTCCATGTGTTGGAATACTGTACAGTGTTCATGTATTTTATGCAACAGCTACGGATATTCTTTAACCCGTAGATGGCAGTGTTTATAAGTGTGTAGCTGCATCGATGGTACTGTATACTCTATTGTATACTAATCTAAGGTTCCTAACTCACATTCATACATACACATCATAGGGCCAATTTAAAAAGGAGCCAATTAACCTACCAGTGTGTCCTTGGAGTGTGGGAGAAAACCTTACTACCCGGAGGAAACCCACGCAGGCACAGGGAGAACATGTAAACTCTATGCAGGTAGTGCCATGGTTGGCATTAAAACTGACAACCCTGCTGCCAGGCAGAAGTGCTAATGGAAATAGAGATGTGCACAACAAAAAAAAGTGTTTTGTTTCAGATTTATTAGTTAAAGTTATACTAAAGGCAATAAAAAATAAATAATTAAATAACAAACATGTCATATTTACCTGCACTGTGCAGTTGTTTTGCGCAGAGCAGCCCTGATCCTCCTCTTCTTGTGTCAGCCACTGGCGCGCCTGGCCCCCCCCTCCTGCCTAGTGCCCCAGAGCAAGCAGCTTACTATGGGACCACCCAAGCAGGCTCACTCCCGAGCCACTGCTCTGCAAGTCCATTCACACACAGAGCTGGGGCTTGGCCCCGCCCCCTCTCTCTCCTCATTCGCTCACTGACTGTGATTTGCATCAGCAGAAGCCAATAGCTGGGGCTCTCGTGCACATTGCTGGATTGCAATGGGACTCAAGTATTAGGGGGACTGGTGCACAGTCTTTACAACCACAATTCAATCAATTTTTTTTCGTCATTTTTGGTAGGTTAGAATGATTCATTTTCAGAATTTGTTGCGTATTTTCGTTCTGATTTGTATTTTCCAAAGTTTTTTTGGAAGATTCAGAATGATTCCTTATGTCGTTATGTTATTTTGGCAACTTGCTTGCGACTTTGATGCTTTGTTACTTTGGCCAGTCATAGCAGCACAGAGTGTGACATACATTATTGCACTTACAAAACCCTCTGAAGCTGCAAATGAATGAAACAAACAAATACAAATAAATTGGTTGTTTTTGTTATAATTTACTTTGGATTCGTTGAAATTTGTTACTATTGTGATTCAGAGAGTCGGATACATCCAAATCTCCAAATAACAAACATTTTGTCTGAATTTCGACTCGTAATGAAATGAATTGCACATGTCAAGTCCTTCATCTCCACAGCAGAAGTTTAGCCTGGTCAAGAAAATTGGGCAAAACCCAACCCAAGGTTGCTGATTGAACAAAGAAGAAGAAGCAGCTCCTTCTGTTGCACAGCAGCCGAGTCTGATTCACTGCTAGTAAGACCTCATGCACAGAACATTTTAAAAACGCTCCTCCTCTTCACAGTGTTTTGGCAGAAAAAACGTTTGACTCATATAAAAGTGTCCAACACGTTTACAAGTGTTTAGGCGCAATTACAGGCATCAAACACTTGAGCGTTAATTCATTTCATTGGCCAGATTAATCATTTATTCTAGCCATTGAAATGAATTACCGCTCAAGCACTATACGAACCTTGCGTTAATATGCGTTTAGACATGTCTAGATGCATCAAGCGTTTTTTTCTGCCAAAACACTGCTGGTCTTGGATGCACTGTCAGTGGGGTTTTTTCCCCAGCTCCTAAAGGCCCCTCCCACTTAAAGCTTCTGAAAGTCTATGTGTGCATAGACACATAGGATAATATGGAAGGGCGTTTGGAAGCTGTAAAAAAAAAATGCCTGACACCCCTAAAAGTGGCTTCAAAAATGTCCCGTGTGCATGAGGCCTAATGCTGACCCTCTCCAAGTGCTGCTGTGCCGAGAATTATTGGACATGCAATAGATTCCTAAAATAGCTTCAAAATACACTGCTCAAAAAAAATTAAAAGAACACTTTTTAATCAGAGTATAGCATCAAGTCAATTAAACTCCTGGGATATTGATCTGTTATTGATCTGCTATTAATCAGTTAATTAGCAGAGGGGTTGTTAATCAGTTTTAGCTGCTTTGGTCTTAATGAAATTAACAGGTGCACTAGATGGGCAATAATGAGACGACCCCCAAAACAGGAATGGTTTTACAGGTGGAGGCCACTGACATCGTTTTCCCTACTCATCTTTTCTGACAGTTTTTCACTAGTTTTGCATTTGGCTAGGGTCAGTGTCACTACTGGTAGCATGAGGAGATACCTGGACCCTATGAAGGTTGCACAGGCAGTCCAACTCCTCCAGGATGGCACATCAATATGTGCCATTGCCAGAAGGTTTGCTTTGTCTCCCAGCACAGTCTCAAGAGCATGGAGGAGATTCCAGGAGACAGGCAGTTACTCTAGGAGAGCTGGACAGGGCTGTAGAAAGGCCTTAACCCATCAGCAGGATCAGTATGTGCTCCTTTGTGCAAGGAGAATAGGATGAACACTGCCAGAGCCCTACAAAATGACCAAACAATCAGAAACAGACTTCATGAGGGTGGCCCTGAAGGCCTGACGTCCTCTAGTGAGCCCAGTGCTCACTGCCTGGTACCATAGAGCTCGATTAGCATTTACCATTGAACACCAGAATTGGCAGGTCCGCCACCGGTGCCCTGTGCGTTTCACAGATGAGAGCAGGTTCACCCTGAGCACGTGTGACAGACATGAAAGGGTCTGGAGAAGCCGTGGAGAAAGTTATGCTGCCTGTAACATCGTTCAGCATGACCATTTTGGTGGTGGGTCAGTGATGGTCTGGGAAGGCATATCCACGGAAGGACGCACAGACCTCTACAGGCTAGACAATGGTACCCTGACTGCCATTAGGTTTCGGGATTAAATGCTTGGACCCATTGTCAGACCCTACGCTGCTGTGCAGTGGGTCCTGGGTTCCTCCTGGTGCATGACAATGCCAGGCCTCATGTGGCGAGAGTATGCTGGCAGTTCCTGGAGGATGAAAGAATTGATACCACTAAATAGCCCCCACGCTCGCCTGACCCAAATCCAATAGAACACCTCTGGGATATCATGTTTTGGTCTATTCAACGATGCCAGGTTGCACCTCAGAATGTCCAGGAGCTCAGTGATGCCCTGGTCCAGATCTGGGAGGAAATCCTCCAGGACACCATCCGTCATCTCATTAGGAGCATGCCCGACATCAGGCATGCATACAAGCACGTGGGGGCCATACAAACTGCTGAGGACCATTTTGAGTTGCTGCAATGATATTTCAGCAAAATGGACTAGCCTGCTGCATCATTTTTTCACTTTGATTTTTGGGGTGTCTTTGAATTTAGTCCTCTGTAGGTTGATAATTTTAATTTTATCAAACAATGGGCATCCTTACGTTCCTAACACATTACCAAGTCCATATCAGTATAGATATCCAGCATGAGATTTTTCCCCATTGAGATCTGATGTGTTTTCAAAGTGTTCCGTTAATTTTTTTTTAGCAGCGTATATTTTGTGTTCAAACATTTGATTTATTGAATAACTTTAAGGGCCAGTTCACAGCACAAAAATGCACTCCAGATGCATTCCGGAGGCATTTCTGCATGAGCGCTTTTAACGCATTTTTGATGATGCATTTCCAAATGCATTCTAGATTCTTTTTTTCCAGTTTTTTTCACTGTACCGGGGCACATTTTTTATGCATTTTACTATGTTCCAGTGCAAGAAAAATGCAGCCTGCTCTACTTTTCTTTCTGGAACTGGAACACCCACACTGGTGTGAACTATACCATTGGGAACCCCATAACCTACTTTCCATGCGATTTTGATGCAGGAAAAAATTTTTTACTGAACTGTAGTATGAACTGGCCCTAACATGTTCCCACTGAAAACTTGCAAAAGAAAAGTAGAAAAACTCCACGCAGGAGAATAGACCTTGGCCTAAATAACAAAGAGAGATATGCAATCAGCAGAATCACAAAATATTTAAAGATTCCTCTAATGAATATATAAAGCTGCATTAATCGTGTTCTTCATCTCTGTCCACAAATTTTAGGTTTGTCTCCAGATTGTGTTTGTTCTCGTAAACATCTCCGGGTTTTCAATTTTTAACAGGTTTTTCCTAATGCAAATATGAAAGGGCTTAGTCTGAGTGATATACAAAGTGTACCCACAGAAAGAAAGGAAGTGTTTGAAAGTCAGGATGTGTTAGGATGGACAAATGTAGGTGATATGTATTACCCTAGGTTCACACCTAAGCGTTTTCCGCTGTGTGTTGCGTTTTTAGGCAGAAATGCACTACAGTTCATTTAACATGATTTCCTATGGGACATGTTCACATCTTTGCGTTTTTACCCAGTTGCATTTTTTGGAAAGGGTCAGTTGACTTTTTTTAACACAAAACGTTTGCATTTTTGGCTCTATAGACTTCAATGGAAAACACTGCAGAAAAGCATGTAGTGCTTGTTTGCTACACAATTTTGCCTCATCTTTGAGATGCGTTTCGTGTTTTAAATCGCCTAGCAACAAGAAAACAAATGCAAAATGCATCCAAAACGCGGCAAAAATGCAGGTGCAAAATTGCAAAACATGTTGTGAAACCTAGCCTTAACTAATTGCCGACCGCAGATAGCTGAATGATGGCTGCACATGCGGCCCGGCCAGTTCTGGGTGGACGTCATATGACGTCCTACCAGAAACGCGCAATCCACCCGGCAATCTCCGTGATCGCTGTGTCCCTATGGACACAGCTGATCACATGACCTGGTAAAAGGCCAATCACAGCGGCCTTTTACCACGTGATCAGCCGTGTCCAATGACACGCTGATCACCCGGGAAAATACAAAATGCCGGGGGGTTGGTTTTTTCTCGGCTGCACTTTCCTCACGCTGTCAGATCGTGAGGTAAAGTACTGCCGAAAACAGGCAGTTGTCAGAGCAGGGATCGCAACCGATCATCAGGGTCACTGATTCACCAGTGCCCTGATGATCGGTGCCCAGCAGTGCCACACACACAGTTTACGCCACCACACTGATGCCCAGCAATGCACCCACCTGTGCCCCAGCAGTGCGCCCACCTGTGCCAAACCCAGCAGTGTCACCACCTGTGCCCACCAGTGCCACCCACCAGTGCCCATCAGTGCAAGCCCAGCAGTGCTGCCAGTCAGTGCCACCAGTCAGTGCATCAATGCACATCAGTGAAGGAGAAAAATTACCTGTTTCAAAAATTTTATAATAGAACAAACAAAAAAACTTTTTTTTTTTTTTCAAAAAAATTTTTTTGCAATTTATTTTGCTTATAGCACAAAAAGCAAAGTGCCCAGCAGCAATTAAATACCACCAAAAGAAAGCTCTATTTGTGAGAAAAAAAATTATAAAAATTTCATATGGGGTACAATCTTGCATGACCACGCAATTGTCAATCAAAGTGCGACAGCACTGAAAGCTGAAAAATTGGCCTGGTACAGAAGGGGGTATAAGTGCCCGGTAGGCTAGTGGTTAAAGTAGTAAAGCAGTGTTAAACTCAAAGGCAGTTATTATATTGCAGCTTACCAATTAGGTTTAGGCTCCATGCACATGGGGTGTTTTAGCTAATGCTGGTAGCATTAGCTGTATAAAGTCGCATTAAAAATGCAAGTTTTTCAGCGTTTTTTGTGTTTTTGCATTAGCATTTAGCTACGTTTTTACGCATTTGTGTTTTTTAGCATTTTTTACTCAAAAAAAATAAATATATTTTCTTTCTTTTTTTATTTTCATCTGGTGAACTGGGCAGTAAGTGTGTTGTGCTTCAAAAGAACAAGCTGTCCTGTAGATGTAGCAGTTACAAGGATGAGACAAACCATTTACCACTGACAGAGGTGCTTTTAATGATCAGATTTTATCCCAAAAGGAAAAAGCTGTTTGCTGTAAGTGTGAGCCGAAATTTAGCTTCAATTTGTTGGCGTATTAAAATCTGCTAGTACATACACTCACCGGCCACATTATGAGGTACACCTTGCCAGTACCGGGTTGGACCTCCTTTTATCTTTAGAACTGCCTTCATGGCATAGATTCAACAAGGTGTTGGAAACATTCCTCAGAGATTTTGATCTATATTGACACGAGTTACTGTTGCCTTTCTATCATCTCGAACCAGTCTGCCCATTCTCCTCTGACCTCAACAAGGCATTTTCATCCCAGGTGTGTACAATCTCGACATGTTTGGTATGTATTTATTCATATTTTCTATTTTACCCCAAACAGAAATATACTGAGTTTGTGTGCCCCAAAATTCATTTAAGTGTAATTTTAGCTTAAAATGTGTGTTTGATAAACCCGTAACTATCATATGACTAACCACTGCAGCAGCCACTATTTTATTCCCCAGGGCCTCTGCTGTCAGAAAATATATGTTTGGAGGCTCTAACTAATCTAGCAAAGTAAAATGCAGATTATAATGTTATGTATGTGAAAAATTAAAAAAATGCAAGCTGCTAACGTAACTATTAAAAATGAACCCTTAGGGCCAGTTCACACTACATGCGTTTCAGTTGCTTTTTTTCTGCATCCAAAACGCACAGAAAGTAGGTTATATGGTTGTCATTGTCATAGTTCACATCAGTGCTTGTAGCTCCTGTGTGTTCCAGTTGCAGAAAAAAAAGCAGAACAGGCTGAATTTCTTTCTGCACAGAACTGTACTAGAACACGGTAAAATGCATAGAAAATGCACCGGAATGCACCAAAGCGCACTGGAACACACATGTCCCTATTTAAATTGAAGAAAAAGAGAGAGGAAATAATGAACTGGAATGCATCAAAAATGCACTGGAATGTATCAAAAATGCATCAACAATACGCATGCAAAAACTTGTTTCTATAGTGTGAACCGGCCCTTAATCTCCCTCTACACCTAAAGCAGAACTCTACTACAGTACACAAAACATTAAATGCAGTTATACATTTCTTTAACAAATTAAATATTTGTTAAATGCAACAATACCTAAATTTGACTTATGCTCAGTCTCTTGCACTGTACAGCAGCACTTGGACTGAGAGAAGGAGGGACAGAATAAGAAACCATTCAGGAGCCCTGCATTCATACATGCTAACAAGGAACTTCCTGACAGGAGCAGAGAACAAAGAGATTGCCTAATCAGTCTGTAACCCCTTCTTTGCTGTCCAATCACACACTGGGGCTTTTACCCCCTTCCTGCCCAGGCCAATTTTCAGCTTTCATCGCTCTCACACTTTAAATGACAATTGAGCGGTCATACAACACTGTACCCAAACTAAATTTTTATCATTGTGCTCACAGAAATAGGGCTTTTTTGTGGTATTTAACCACCATTGGGCTCTTATTTTTTTATTAAATAAACAAAAAGAGACTGAAAATGAAAAAAAAAAAACACTTTTTACTTCATTTCTGTTATAAAATTTTGCAAATAAATAATAGTTCTTCATAAATTTATACCAAATTGTATTTGTAAACTATGGTATATATCTGAAAATTGATCAATCCTGCTGTACTGATTTCTGATGTCCCACAAATGTCAGGACAGTACAGATATCCCCCAAATTACCCCTTTTTGGAAAGTAGACAGTCTGAGGTATTAAGTAACAGACATGGGATGTTTTTTGCAGTTGTAATTTTTTTTGTCATAATTTTTTGGAAAATAGAGAAATTAAAAAAAAATTAACTTTTTATGACATATTTTCACCAGTGCAGTACAGCGTTATCATAAAACTGGTGTGGCAGTGATCAGGCACACTGACTGCAACAGTACGAAACAAAAAAACATTTTTTTTCACCCTTTTAAATTTATTATTAATTTTTATTTAATTATTTTATAACTGTTAACAGAGTAATAAAATGTTACCATAGTAACACTGTACTACTCTGGGAAAGTGATCAGTTTTTGGGTTTTTTTTACACATTACAATTACTTATAGCAGTGAAATTCATTGGTATAAGCAAGCATTTTACTGAATGAAATTGATTCATTCAGTTTGTTTTGTTTGTTTTGTTGTGATTAGCTGTGATTGGCCACAGCTAATCACATGACACAAATGGGCTGTAATTGTTCCAGTCTGTAGCATGTGATCACTATGACCATTCACAGCTAGAAACACAATTATATACAATGGATGGCATGAAAGAAATCCATCCATCGTTTAAAATTGTTATGTGACCTGCTGTGATTGGTCACAGTGGACACATGCTACTGGCAACGAACCGGTACACAGATCAGTCATTGGCTGTGTCCACAACATGGTCCCACGGGTACGTGCAAGGCGGCGATCTGGGAGGACGTCATATGACGTCCACCCGGATTGACAAAAGTCCCACCCAGCCGTCATTTTACTATAGGCCTGGGCAGGAACTGGGTAAACTAGACCTAAAGTGTATCAAGTGTGTTGGACTTACTGGGGGATGACTAGAACCCGTCGGGTTTTTAATGCTATATGGACTCTGTTGGAGAAGTGAGGGATATTAATAAAACGCAACAGAGGTTGGAACTTGGTATCGGAGCATTTGTCTCCTGCTCCCTCAACCTCCTGGCGATCACCGAAACCTGGATCCAAACCACTGAATCTACCTCCCCTGCAGCACTCTCCTATGGAGGTCTGACCTGGACCCACTCACCCTGACCCAGCGGTCTGAAAGGTGGTGGGATTGGTATGCTCCTGTCACCGCAGAGCACCTATGGCGCAAAACCAGATCCCAGCAAGCGTTCACCCGATATAAATCCACCTTCCTCACCTACACCTCCTTCCTCCATGCTGCCAAGCAAGCCTACTTTGTAACCCTCATCAATACCCTCTCTTCCAGCCCTCACCGGCTCTTCTCCACCTTCAACTCCCTGCTCTCTCGGCCCCCACCTCCACCCAGTACCTCACTCACCGCCCACGAGATTGCTAACCACTTCCAAAGCAAGATCGACGCAATTCGCAGGGACATCACCACTGCTCAGACTCCCGCCCCACCTAGCATCCCTCACACGAAAAAAACCCCCTCAACACTCCTCTCCTTCGACCTTGCCACTGTCCAGACCTCCACCCCGCCCAACATTCCTCACGCTAAAACCCCCTCAACACTCCACTCCTTTGACCCCGTTACCACTGAAGAGGTCACTAAGGTCTCCTCTGAAGCTTGCCTTACCACCTGCCCCCTTGACCCTGTCCCCACACAACTCCTATGATCACCCTCCTCCTCCATCCTACGCTCCCTCACTCACATCTTTAATCTCTCCCTCTCTACTGGCACATTCCCCTCCCCTCTGAAGCACGCGCACATCACTCCCATACTTAAAAAACCCTCCCTGGATCCCACCGACCTAAACAACCTTAGACCCATATCACTGCTGCCATTTTAATCCAAACTCCTTGAGCACTTAGCCTATAATCGCCTAAGCTCCCACCTCACCGACAACAACCTCCTTGATCCCCTACAATCTGGCTTCCGTCCCCTACATTCCACCGAAACTGCCCTACTCAAACTCACCAACAACCTGCTAACCCCCAAAGCCAATGGTCACTACTCAGTGCTACTACTCCTCGACCTCTCTGCGGCTTTAGACACGGTCGACCACCCCCCTCCTCATCAAAAGACTATACTCTTTTGGCCTCAGAGACTCCACTCCCTCCTTGCTCTCTTCCTATCACAACGCTCCTTCAGTGTTACCTATAACACTGCCACCTCCGCCTCGCTCCCCCTCTCTGTTGGAGTCCCCCAAGTTTCTGTCCTCGGGCCCCTTCTCTTCTCTATCTACATCTCCTCCCTTGGTCAAATGATACACTCCCACGGCTTCAACTACCATCTCTATGCCGGTGACACGCAAATCTATCTCTCTGCCCCTCACCTCACCCCTTCAGTCTCCGCCTGAATCACCCACCTCTTGAACGACATATCAGACTGGATGTCACTCCACTTCCTCAAATTAAACCTTGCCAAAACCGAGCTCCAGTTTTCCGCTCAGCCTGCACATTTGACCCCGTTAAGATGGCCACGCACATGCGGACTCCAAAAAAATGGCGGCCGGCATATATATATATATATAGCAGCAATAGTTGTGATGTCCAATCATATCCCCCTGATGAAGTCACGTGACCCGGTGACGTAACGAATAGGGGAGGGGCTCTGACATCACGAAGTTGACTTGGAC